GGTGAATGATTGATGAAGCTTCAAATTTCCTATGCTACAGTACTCTCTGGAACTAATTTGATCACCAGTTATTCTCTGATCCCCCAATAATCCCCAACGTACACTTTATTCAAATGCTTATATAGCAGTTTTCCTTAGAATCTGATTCAGAGTCTAATGTGTAGTGAAATACTCCATGTGAAATGAATGAAATTCAATATCCTGAACATAAGAAATAAAACTTTCTCTCAAGGCAGGGCATTCTGTTATAAAAGCACACTCAAGTAATTAGCTGTAGGTACATCTTTTCAAGGTCACTTAAAGCACAGTGTGAAGGTTGTTGTCCTGGTTTGTACCTATTTTTTTTTTTTTTTTTGCTACACAGACAATGAAAAGATGCATTCAATAATGTCATTAAACTAAGCATTACCTTAGCATACTCAAATCTAAAAGAAGTCTGGCCAAAGTTAATTATCATCATGTATAGGCTTCTCCGGAAATCGTACTTATCTCTACTTCAGGTCTGATTTTCATTAACCTCTGTTTCTGTAAGAAGCAATGTAGCAGGCCCATGCATGGTGGTGACGGTGCTAGATCCCAGATGGCCAACTGCACAGTTCAAATCCAGACCTGGTGGCTTAGAAAACATGCCAAATGCGCCCAAAATTCCAAGAGGAGAATGGAGAGAACAGACTGCAGTGTGGCGATTCCCAGCCCCTATGCCTGGGGGTTCCTTCTCATTTTCTCTCTCTCTCTCCAGCAACTACATGTGCCCCATAGCAAAATTATAAAATATATATAGCTAACATAGGTTTATTACACTAATTACAAGTTTTAGAAAATAATTGTCATAATGTTTAAAATCTGGTAGGGGGGGCCAGCAGGTGGTATGGTAGTTAAAGGTGCTGGAGTCCCACATGGTCGACTGTGGTTTGAGTCCCAGACCCCAGCAAGCTGGCAGCTTGCTTTCTCACTTTCTCTTTCTCTGTTCTTCTCTGGTCAAATTAACATAAATAAATAAAGATAAATAAAATAATTCTCTAAAAATTAAAAAAAAAAAACAAAACCTGGTAGAGACATTTTTTTTTTTAAAAAGGCCACAAGTTCTTTGAAACACCTCCATTAGAGGGATGGAGTCTAACTCCTGGTCTCTTCAATCTGAGCGAGTCTTACACTTGCTTGTTAACAACAGACCAGAAAGGCCATGGGGTTTCAGCCAGGTCCTTAGGGAATGCGTGCTCCCTGAAGCCTCCTTTCTGGGTACCCAGTCACCATGTTATGAGGAGCCCATGCCACATGGACAAGACATGAAGATGTTCTGGTCAAGTCTCCAATACGCGTGGCCTACAAGTCACTCTGCCCAGGTGACGTGTGAGTGAAGAAGCCTCCCGATGATCCCAACCCCCAATCATCCGAGACTTCCCAGGCGCCTGAGTCTTCAAAACTAGCCCCAGACAGCAGCAAAGACAAGCCATCCGTGCTGTGCCCTGACCGAATTCCTGACCCGAGGAGTCTGTGCACATAATAAGATGCTGTTGTGCCACGCCACTAAGCTTTGGGGGTGGTTAGAGAGGCCCAAACTAAAGCACTACTGCTCACCCAAAGCCTACCTTTAATTCCCACAGTGCACTTTCTTGCCACCGGCAGAGCACAGACTTCAGCATTTTGTACAAATAAGTCATTACCCAGAGGCAACACATCCTACAGATCCATGTTCTGGGACAGGGCGCAGAAAGGATGCACTGTTAACTCTGATGACTTGTCATTGTGCGGTCATCTAAATTTGGGCACTGAATCAGTAAAGTGAACGAACCTCTGCGAGGTAACCAGGAAAATGCTACTATGCGCACGTGTCTGTGACATCAAAGCACATTATTTCCACAAACTTGTCGCTATGCTAATGAGGAGCTACTCCTAAACTCTACACGTTTACAATGTTGATGAAATAATTTCTTCCTAAAGGAATTATTTCATGAAAACTGATCACACGTAATCTGTCACTAGAGATGACAAGGCTCTATGACAGATTAGGAAAAAAAATTTTTTTTAAAAATTATTTCATTGGGACCAGAAGTTAGTGTAATGGCTATGTCGTTGGACTCCCATGTAGTAGACCATGGTTCGCATCCCGGACCTGGTGGCTTAAAACTCACGCTGGGCGCATGTGCGTGTGTGCCCAAGATCCCAAGAGGAGAATGGAGGAGAAGGGATTGCGGCATGGCCATCCCCTCTGGGGGGTGATTTCTCGCTTTCTATCTCTCTGTTTCTCTCTTTCTGTCTGGTGAGCGCACGCGTCCTATAGCAGAAACCTCTCAAAAAAAAAAAAAAAAAAAAAAAAAAAAAAATTTTTTCAATGGGACACGAAG